AAAAAAAGAAAAGTCCTGAATTGAAATCCCTTCCCCAAACCACTGTACCATGTTGCTATGTGAAAAGAACAACTTTGCAAATGATCTTCAAAAGTCATTAAACATGAAAAATACTATTTTCCTGTTAGCATACATAACTGTCAGTCAACATGGAAACTAACAGACATAGATTTACTTCCTTTGAGAATCAGGAAAGTTGTACATACTCTCACGAGCTGATTTCTTAATTCCTCTACTTACAGGCCACTTGCTAACTTCAAGACATCTCTTTTTCACACCAACACATTTTTTTCAACTCTATTCTTCAAGCATCTTTATTTTCTAGATCTTTCCCACTAAGACCAGAAAAATCTTTGTTCTTTTTACTCTGTTTTAATTCTGAGCAGAAAAAAAATGGCCAGCTTTGAGAAGTAAAAACTAGTACAGATCTACTATACAAACATAAGAAAACTACCCGTGTATAGACTTAGGTACAAGAATCAGTGCCACCAACATCCCAATACAAAAGTATTTTTCTTCTTCATGTTTCTCTAACACTACACTTACTCAAACATCTTAACAATAACTAAAAATATATTTCTAATGAATCTATCATCTCCTTTATAATGCTGACTATTCTAGCTGTATTCATTTTACTTGCTTCAGTTACAAATTTTATTATTTAACCTACCTCATGGCTTTAATAGCTTTTGGAGGATTGATCTGAAAGATTATTAATGATTTATACTTTTTTAATAAAGAGACATGCATTTTTGCCCCAAATAGCTACAAGCTAATCCATTTTTTGTTCAAGGACTAAATGAATTTCTGTAATACTTTAAACATGGAACACGTATCTAATAAGAGAGACCCTTAACGAATATATCTTGGCCAACTCATAAATTATCAAGTTGAACTGTGTGATTATTTACTTTGTAAAAAGATTCTTTGCTTTTCAAAAGAACTAACCAATTCCCTTTAAACAGTCACATTTAAAAGCACATTTTGACTCACATACATTTTCATGCACATAGCAACTGCTAAAAGCAAACGTAAAAAGAAAGTAGAAATGAAAGGTAAGTATCATCACTCTTACTTTAGACCACTCTGCATCCTTCAATTGACTCCCACTTCCTGACAGAAAGGCTCAAAGCCGGTACCCTTCCATGGGAATGTTAGATTGAACATCAGCAGATACAGCTGCACGCCCCACCACAACTCAACAGTAAGTAGCCAGGTGAAATCGAGGGCTGCGGATGTTTAGTGATGCCTTATACATAGGGTCACCAAGGGCAAGAATCAAAATATCTAAAGAGCAAAAAAAAAAAAAAATCTAAAGAGCAAACTACAGTTGACTCAGAACATGCAAGAAAGTTAGAAGCACCAACCCTCTGCACAGCAGAAAACATGAGTAAAACAGAGTTGACCCTCTGCACATTCAGTTCCTCTGGTACCATGGTTCTGCATCTGCAGGTGCAACCAACCTGGATCCTATAGCACTGTAGTATTTACAATCAAAAAAAGTGGACCTGCATGGTTCAAGCCAGTGTTCAAGGGTCAGATATATTTTTCCCAAGCATCTTTTCTGAAGCTCACCCTTAAGAGGAAAGAGTTGTGTCTCAGAAAGCTCTGCCTCAGTGGAAACCATTCTATAATTAACGCCCAAGCATGCTCTATCCCTCAAGTAGGGCCCCTGACTCTAATGCTAATTATAGTTATAGGGATGGGGCTTAAAAGTGAATTTCTTACATTCTCTCTGTTTTATGCCTTAAATGCTCTTTTCTTTTCATATACTTTAACTATCCTTTAAAATAAAAATTCAACAATTGTTTCTAGAAAAGAATCAAGTTGATATTTGCCTCAAAGTTATAGGCCTCTCACACTTAGGATACCAGTGAGTGTGTGTTAGTTGTTCAGTCGTGTCTGACTCTGCGACCCCATGGATTGTTGCCAGCCAGGCTCCTCTGTGCATGGAATTCTCCAGGCAAGAATACTATAGAGAGTAGCCATTTCCTTCTCCAGGGGAATCTTCCCAACTGAGGGATCGAGCCCAAGTCTCCTGCATTGCAGGCAGATTCTTTATGGTCTGATCCACCAGGCAAGCCCACTCAGGCTACTTGCCTATGTACAAATAAGTGAAGGATTCCATAATTCACTAATTATCTGAGAATACCTCTAGCAAGCAGGGTGCATATCTTCCTCATCCAGACGCTACTGTAATGAAATCATATATTCACTGGTACCTACTATGTGGCCAGTGTTTGCTAGGCTGGTGGTATAGACATAACCAACTTGGTCCTTACCCTCAAGGGATCCAACGTCTATTAACAGGGTCTCTTTCTTGGGGTAAGGTATTGTTCTTTCTCTGTAGCCCTTTTGATATGCAACAATCCCTGGGTAAAATGAATACTATAATGGTTGTATGAATTTGTTCATCAGCTCTTCTCCCCCAATCCCAAAGAAGTACCTCTGGAAGAAGGCAGGTTTTAAATAAAACAATTCTCTCAAACCTCTGGAAATAAACACAATGACCCACAGAGCCCAGTTGAAGATAAAGTCAACTCTGGCACCTCAAAGACTCACTTTGCTGCCACCAGTGTCCTTTCATGACAGAGTCACTCCTCTGCCTTTCCTCCAGGGAGACACTAGATGGCACCAGAAAACTGTACAAGCATCCTTGGTTTATGATGTCTCCCTCATCAAAGCGTCTGGGCGTTTCACACACAGTGCCTCGAATTTGCCCTCCTAGCTATCACTTTCCTCAGAGAGGAGCTAAAGAAACAAAAATTCACTGATATTCTAAACAAAGAAGCACCTGAACACTCCGATTTAGCTGCGAGGGGTCAGCCATGTGGCTTCAAGGCAACTTCACGATTTTCCCAGCAATTCCCAAGAGTTTTCACTTCTTCAAATACTAATTAGGTCCAGAATCTCATCTAGCTCCTGGAGAGGAATGTGTGAGAACCAGCCGCCATAATGGATTTGAAAGGCTTTTGCAGACTGTGACGGGTTATCTGTTAATTGCCACTTGCATGCATATCCCCCTGAGATCAGAGCTGGTCCTGAGGCAACGCAGGCAGTGGAGGGAGAAGGAGTTTCTCGGCAGAAGGAATGAGGAGCTCTGCCCGGGAATGCAGTGTTTCCATTGAGCTTGGCCAACATACTCAACAGCACACAGCAAGGGAACAGAAGTGTTATTCAGTTTCTAGACACCAGAGATTTGTTCTCCTCGCTCTCTGGTTAAAGCTTCACCCCTGAACTCAGTTGCAGTCTCAGGCAGAAGTCTCCACACACTCATTCCCTATCGTCTCGGGAAACTCCAAGTGAACCTGAGTCCTAAAACAAAATGGTGAAGTAAGTGAAGTCTCTAAAGTCTTCCTCCTCCTCCATACCCTGATTTAACTTCTCCTTCACAGATAATCCTATACCATCACTTTTACCCAGGTTGTCCTTGTCTGGTTGGAAAATGAACAGAAAAAAAGGAACAAATAGCTTAACATGTTACCCATTCCAGATATATCTATATTTTATATGAGAACGATAACCAAAAACACAGCATTTTATCTAAAGGAATAAATCTCTAATGGTTGAATGTGAGGCATTGTGGAGAGATTTTGTTACCATCTCTTCATACCAGAAAAGTCATCTCTCACAGCTTTTAACAGAAGACCCAGCCAGCTTTTTCTCCTTCTGCCCTCCACCCTCCAACTTTTTCTCTCTGGTCTATGCAACTGATTACACTCTGTTTTCCTTTCCTCTATACCCCTTAGCAATCACACTTTTAACTTTAGAGGAGCTTTCTTTCTGACACTAAACTCAATGTTGACATTCTCCCTCCTTCAACATACATACTCAACAGAAATCAAGCTAATTACCATGTAAGTACCATAACTACAACTCTTTATACTAATTTATAATTAAAAAGCATTCCTGTCTGACAGATAAAGGGAGAAAAATGAGATATAGTAAATTAGCTGAGGTCACAGTCTTCCAGGGCGCAAAACTGGGCTCTTGTCTAACACTCGGAAATGAACTGTCCGAGGAGACACATCTGCCGACAAAGCAAGAGATTTTATTGGGAAACGGCACCTGGTGGAGAGCAGTAGGTGAAGGGAACCCATGAGAACAGCTCTGTCACATGGCTTGCAGTCTCGGGGTTTTATGGTGATGGGATTAGTTTCCGGGTTGTCTTTAGCCTCAGAGTCCTTCCTGGTACACAGCTTGTTCAGCCAAGATGGATGCCAGAGAGAAGGATTCTGGGAGGTGGTAAGATATGTGGTGTCTCCTTTTGACCTTTCCTGAACTCTTCCGGTTGGTGGAGGCTTATTAGTTCCGTGTTCCTTACCAGAAGCTCCTGTTGTAAAACAGCTCATGCAGATGGTTACTATGGTGGCTGGCCAAGGTGGGCGGATCCAGTCAGTGTGCTTCCCCTGACAACAGGACTAACTGGCAGCAGGATTCAGAACCAAATGCTGACCCCTGGCTCCCAGCAACCCAAGAATTATTCTGAAAAGTTTGGAAGAAGAACCTGAGGGCCAGAATGACACTGCCATGGAAATGCCCTAAGGCCCCACACCCTCACCTCCAGGCCCTCATTCTTCCCGTGGGAACCAAAGGCAAATCATATCTACAGCCAGTTACTGGTGGCCTCACTATCACTGGTGGGGTGGGGCCTCACCAAAGACAAAAGTACTGGCTCCCAATCCCCTTAGACACTTCAGGACAAATCCCACCCTGAGCCCATCGGGGCCCAGAGTACCATTTCCATATCCAGACTCAACCTTGGACCTTAGATACCTTGAAAGACCATGAGATGGGGGAAGAAAGAAGACTTCTAGAAAGCAACAGATTGGGGCAGTAAAACCAAGTTCTTGGTTCCAGAGTTCTTAGTCCTCGCTGAGGGCAGTTCATGTGAAAGGCATCCCATGATGTCGTGAAAGACATCCTCCTTTCACCGCCACATACTCTTTGGGTTTTCACTGACACCCCCTACTATGATTTAACCATACGCCCGCCAACACCCTTTCCTCCCATGAGGCCATTCCGACTCGGGCTTCCTCTTTGGCCCACAACAGAGCTGCCATACTGGGTCCTGGGCCAGCCCGTCGGGACGCCACACAGCGAAGCCTTTGTAAGAGCTGGCATTCCGTCTCCCCCCTGGGGAGAGTCCAAGGCCTGGGAAGAGATCCTCTGCCCTAAAACAGGAATGAAGCACCTGAACACCTTCCAGTCCTGAGTGTTTCCACACAGAGGAGGAGGTTTTCAACAGGAGTAAGAATCAGAGAGAGTTACTAAGAAGGGCCAGCCATTTCTGAGGGTGCAGTCCTGTCAGTGGCCCCTCTTAAAACTCTCTTCCACATCCACGGGAAATGCATGCATCTGAGTGCTGGGAAATGCCCTCCCCCTTCCTCTTGTCCCTAGAGCAACTCGCTCCCCAAATTCCCCTCCCCTACTATATCACATACTTAAAGAAAACTTCCAAACAAGTCATCCAAAGGCAGAAAAAGAAAAAAAAAAAAAAGACCTGAAGCTTATTCTATTAAGAACATATCCAGGGACTTCCCTGGTGGTCCAGTGGCTAAGAGGTCACACTCCCAACACAAGAGATCTAAGCTTGATCACCACACGCTGCCACTAAAATTTCCTTATGTGGCAGCTAAGACCCAGCACAGCCAAATAAATAAATATTTTTTTTTAAAGAACAGACCAGAGCCCTGTCAGCACAAAGCTGAGGCTGTGGTTGCTGTTACTCAGGGATAACTGTGCTTTAGTGATCTTTTTCCATGAGTCCTATCGCTGCCCTGGCATAGCTTTGCTTCCAAAGGCCCAGATAGATGCCTTTGAAATGTATATGGATATGTACATTTACATACATACCTGCGTATACAGGTGTACACATATTTACATACCTGTGTATACAGGTATACATACATTGATGTATACTTCTGTGTACACATGCGCAGATGCTCACATAGAGCCCGCCCTTGCAATCTTCCTGGAGCTTGGCGCCAGGACACAGAGATACCAGACTTCGTGGATACACAAGTCCCTTACTTAAAGGTTCCTGCCTCACCAGTTTCCAGCTCCTCAGTTTTCCTCTTCGCGGGTTCCGGGTTCCGCCTGCCACTGACTGGAAACTGACACGCAATCCTTCAAGTGTGTGACTTGAAAAGAAAATACAAGGAAAAGAAAATAACAATGCACTATACTTCCGTAAAACTTTCTACCTTTATCAAAAACTTTTGCATCTATTACCGTCTTGCTTCATTCCTAATTTGTGAGGTGGACTGCCTGCCTGCCTGCGTGTTTAGTCATGTCGGTCTCTTTGTGGCACCATGGACCGTAGCCCACCAGGCTCCTCTGTCCATGGGATTCTCCAGGCAGGAAGACTGGAGGGGGTTGTCATGCCCTCCTCCAGGGGATCTTCTCAACCCAGGGCTCAGAACCAGTGTCTCCTGCACCTCATGCATTGCATCTTTAGCTGCTGAGCCACGCCCTGAGGTATATTGGTGGTGGTTTAGTCACTCAGTCGTGTCTGACTCTTTGCGACCCCGTGAACTATAGCCTGCCAGGCTCCTCTGTCCACGGCATTTTCCAGGCAGGAACACTGGAGTGAGGGTTGCCATTGCCTTCTCTACTGAGATAGACTGGGCAGATGTTATTAGGAACCCCATTTCACAGATAAGGAGATTAAATTTCAAATACAGTATGCTGGTTTGAGTCATAACTAGGATCCAGGTTGAATGACATCCATGTCACCTTGTACCAAACAGCTATCACTTAGTAACTGTGCAGTTAAATATGGTGCAGTTTGGGATACAAATGTTCCATTTTTTATTTTTTTTTAGTGTTCAGTGCTTTTATAAACCCATTTTAAGAATTAATGCTGCTGATAATAACCCCTGCAGATCACTTTTTTATCTGTATAATTAAAATCAGAGTAGAAATGAGCAAATATTTCAATACTACCTATCTAAAAAGAACCATCTAATCTATGACTGTCAACCCTACCTGAATATTAGGAATCAACTGAGGATATTTTTAAAATAGCAAAGCCTGCGCTTTAGCGTATGACATAGCTCATGGGAAGTCTTGAAGCCCACGTTGAATCGACACCACAAACCAGGTCAAATGAATCCCAAGGGTTGCAGGTTACTGAGCAGAGCTTTCCAGATAAACAGACCTCTGTTGTCTCCACATTCCTATGTCTAATTTCCAACACAGAGGTCCCTTCACAGACCAGGAGGCAGGTCTGGATTCTCTCACTGAATCTGACCATTTGGCTTTTCTGTAGCATGCTGTTCAGTACTGCGTTATCCACCCTGGTGGATTTTAAACATTTTTTGTTTTGTGTCTTAGATTTCTCTTCTCCCTAAAGATCAGTTACAAGCGCCTAAAGTGCAGAGACTACATCTCGCTTGGTTTCAGCCTCCACAAAGCCCTGCACAATATTTCATATATAATAAGGAATTAATACATATTGGATTTATTGGTCAAATAAAGAGCAACATTTTTAATTAATTTATTTTAATTGGAGGATAATTACTCTACAGTATTGTGATGGTTTTTGCCATACACCAACATGAATCAGCCACGGGTACATATGTGTCCCCCCCATCCTGAACACCCCTCCCACTTCCCTCCCCACCCTGTCCCTCTGGGCTGTCCCAGAGTACTGGCTTTGGGGGCCCTGTCTCAGGTACTGGTTACCTGTTTTTCATATGGTAATATACATGTTTCAATGCTATTCTCTGACATAGTCCAAAAGTCCATCTTTACATCTGTGTAAGAGCAACAATTTTTGCAGCCAGATGAAGAGCAATAATTTGTTACAGGCTTGGCCTGTGTCAAGAAAAGGCCTGTCATCCTTTACAGACAGGATAAAATGCTTTGCCTTTACTCAGCATCACACCTAATAGCAACAATTGCTCATATTTGTCTGGCACTGCATAGCATGCAAAGTGCCTTCAGAAAGATTTATTTGTACAGGTTTCTTCTCCCAAAACTGGCAAACATGATCCTCAGATCAGAGCCTCTCCTGTCAGGGTGAATGGAATCATAAAATCCACCTCATTAAGTATCACCTCTCTCTCTCCAATCCTCTCAGGCAAAATTTCCAAGATTAAAGTAAAAGTGTGCTGGGACTTCCCTGGTGGTCCAGTGACTAAGACTCTGTGCTCCCAATGCAGGGGGCCCAGGTTCAATCCCTGGCCAGGGAATAGATTCCACACACCACAACTATGAGTTTGCATGCCACAACTTAAAAAAAGATCCTGCGTGCCACAGGATGCACATGTGCCACATGCCACAACTAAAACCCAACACAGCCAAATAAATAAATGTTTATAAAATAAAGAAAGAAAGTAAAAGTGTGATGCTTTAACAGTTGTATATACTCAGAGGTAGGAGACATCAAAGAGAATCTCTATGCGTGACCTGGGGATGGAAAGTTATTTTAAAAAGCAAACATGATCAGCTCCCTCACATTCAAAACTCCCTCTTGACTGAAGGCTCAGATTGAGAGTCCTCCATTCCTAGGAAGGCTGGAGAAGCAGAACCCTGAGGCGTAACCCTACAAGGAGTAGAAGGCTCTTGGAGACAGGTAAATAGTTTTACCCATTTCTGTTACGAACAATAGAACCAGACAACCTTCAGGGCAAGAATAAATCATAAAAGGATAACATCATATTTTTAGCTAGAGGGGGATATGCAAACCAGGTAAGAGGTTGTCAAAATTCCTAAGTCCAAAGTTTAGCATTTTAAAAAATTAAACGAATAGAAAAGATTATTTCAATAGAAAACAGAGCATCTCACAGTCAGAAAGTAAGAACGGCTTCATAAAGCTTCTGAAATTTTATGTGTAAAACTGTACTGGGTCTTCTTGTCAAGTAGTATATTTCTTACTGTAGTGTTAGACCAAAAAAAAGAGTTTGAAAGTTTGGTCCTAGCTGTAGGAAGTTTGCTGGTGGAATAGTACTGTTTGCATGCTCTTTTTTTCCTGGTATTAGTCCAGTAAAAGAATAGTACTGTTGTTTTCTGATTGAGCAGTACTTGCCCTGGGAGCAGCCTGGGCAGGGTGGTGTAAGCCCTGAATTCTGGCCCATGATTCATGGCTGCTTCACTGCCCAATAGATAGGCCTTAGGCAAGTTACTTCTCAGTCTTTCTTCATCACTCGACAGTGATTGATAGTGATTGTTAGTCACTCAGTCATGTCTGACTCTGTGATCCCATGGACTGTAGCCTGTCAGGCTCCTATGTCCATGGAATTCTCCAGGCAAGAATACTGGAGTGGGTTGCCATTCCCCTCTCCAGGGGAACTTTCCAAACCAGGGATTGAACCCGGGACTCCTACATTGTAGACAGATTCTTTACCATCTGAGCCACCAGGGAAGTTACTCATCATTCTATAGGGATACCTGCTGATATTTCACTCAAGAGACTGAAAAAGTAATGAATATTTTGCCTGCAAGGTACCTCCCCAAGTACCTACAAAGATATTCAGTACATGTGACTTCCTACATGCCCTGTCCACACCTCCCACCCCACACCACCTCTCCTGTAGGGCATTGGGGATCACCTCTGCATTTTCCCACTTTTCCTAGGAGGGCCTCTGTCGACCCTGAAAAATGCCACCTAACACTCCAACTGAGTCATCTTCAGAAGCAGTCACTGACTCAAAGAGAGGCAAATGTATAAGAACATCCAATTCATTCACTCAAGTGTTTGGAAACATGTGTTTCAAAGAATATATGGAAGAAGACCTCCAGAAGGACTGCTATTTGTCTTGGCTTGCATGGAGTAGAGGCATAAGAGAAATGCTTTGTTAGATGAATAGCTTCAGTGCCTTCAGGGGCTCTGAAAAATATCATTTTCATATTGTAAGCCATAAAGACAACTTCCGTATCTCCTCCATCTGACTTCACATTCCTCTTAATCAGGTGGTTTCCACAACGCCTAGGAAGGACTCTCAATAAATATTAACTCAGGAAAAACTACTCATCTCCTTTTCTGGCTTAGGCATTTAACTCCGAAAGGTCAGAGGCCTTTGTATTTCATCCATTCAGTTGGAAACTCTCCCAGTGAGAATCCACCGATGATTAACCTGTCTCAGACTCTCAGTCAGGTGTTCACTTTCTCTAACTGT